TTTAAGAGTTAGGTCTCAATCTGAGATTTGCAGGTTTTATTTATGCTTTTTAGAATTTTGAAAATGTTCCCCTCATACAGTAGTCTACTTGTCCAGGACTAATAAGGTATTAGTCTCCCAGATCATCAGTGTAGGACAGGGAGTGGCAAATTTCCGAAGGGGTATGCAGAGAGTTAGCTTGTGCACTTTTTATGGATTTTACAGATTGATGCTTTTTTAATGTCAACAATAGCCCTATTTACATTTTGATGAATACAAATTGAATATTAAAATATAATGAGATCCAAAATCAATAAATTAACATGCAGGTCTTACCATTTAGTATGATCCTTGTCCTTGCTTTCCCTTGCTCAGTTCTCCAATCTCAAGCTCGTACAGTTGCTTGACACTTTAAGCAGCACACAAGCCTCTGTGTATTTAATAATTAACCGGGTACTGGAGTGATAAAGAACTGACTTCATGTGTGAAAATACCTGCTCACAGAGGTGTGTTGAAAATGCCACCTTCTTCACAAAGTCGGATTTCACTGGCAGGGACTTCCAACAGGTCATGATAGAGATGGTGTGATGAGTTTCGGTGGGTTCAGGTGTGTTTCACAGATCCCAGAATATGGAGCTCCATATGTCTAAGTGCTGTAATTTAATGAGCATTTCAAAATCCTCAACAGCCTTCCACTGGAACACTGAAACATCCATGTCGCTGGTAATAAATCTTTCTGGTTCTAGAAAAGAAAACATCAGCCGAAAACTTTGGAAATCCTGAAATCTGACAGAAAACGCTGATGCTAATTCTCGACTCGGCAACATGGATCGTGCAATGTTTTGAAAGTTAAAATGTCGGAGATAGTGGGAAGTTTAGGTGTCAGTGTTCCAAGATCTTCCTTTCATATTTTGGAAAGACTCATAATTTGTTCTGCACCCTGCAGTCAAAGTTGAGTTGATTTATATGTGTGGTGATGTGTACTAGAAACATGAGTTTTGCAATCCATTTTTCCATCATGCAGTTTAGGGTAGTTTTGAGCTTTTTCTGACAAAAAAAGGTCTTAATCCCTTTTGTCCCAGCACCCTTCTATACAATTTTGTATTTTATGTTAATAGGCAAATCAAGCTTAATTAAGAATTACAAAAGTTTTATGTAATAATTGTCACAAACGGTTCTTTCCTATGCAGACGACACAATCCAGATTTGTGAGGAAACACTGGGGAAAAAGTCATGCAGGAGAGGGTATGGAGACAGGTGTCCAAGGGGTGCAGGTGTCCAGGAGCAGTGAGTCCGGGGCGAAAAATCAAAGACAAAGTTCAAACAGGGAATCCAAAACAGAAGCAAAGTCCATGGCCAGGCGATCCATCAAGAGGGCTAAAAACCAGGAACCGGGTCGGGACCAGCTGGGGGGGATCAGGAACAGAAAGCTAAAACCATAACGGAGCCAGACGCAGCAGGAACCCGGGCTCTCACAAAACGAGATTCAAGGAAGAGCCTCGAATAACGTCTGCATGTGGCTTTTAAGGGGGAACTGAAGAGGGGCTGGAATAAGGAACAGGTGCGGGTTATGGGACAGAACAAGGAAGGGCTGGAGCACCCTTAAGAGGAGGAGTAGTGATCGTGACAATAATACATTTTTACTGGGCTATTCAAACTAATACTGAAATGTTTTTTAAACCTACTGTTTAAAACAAATCTTAATGCAGATTTCATAAATCTGTTTTTTTCATCTCCTAAAGAACTATTAGTCAAAAGATTCTGACATTTCACAGAGCAAAGCAGACATATGAGTGCTGATATATTGATATTCAGCCCTGTGATTCATATCCCCATTCATATACTGTCGTCTGAGAGAATGAAACCAGTGGCTTGTGACTTTTGACCACAGAATTAAGTTTCTAAAGCGACTTAAGGTGCAAGCTTGAATTATCAGTCACTTTTAAAAGTAAACTGCATCCCAGATTCCATGGTAATACAGAAGCCTTTCCTCACCTTTCACTTTGTGATGCAAAGCACTTTATATGTACAGTATAAAGCTTAATTCTCATATGTATTACATTTGTGTATAGAGGTTTAAAAAAATGTAAACAAAAATATATTGCTAATGATAAACATAATTTGCATTGCATACTTCTGAAATTGTAGATCTTAAGACTAATCTTAATTTTTCCTGCAATAAACATAAATGAGGGACACTCACACATTTTACTGTGTAGCTTTGGTCACCTTTTGTAGTAGAACAGGCAAATTAAAATACTGTAAGAAAAAAAGCACAGTGAAATACTATTAAGCTTCTTCTTCTACTTCTTCTTTTTCACAGCCTTAGTCCCAGACTGTCCTGGGGTCAGCTGCTTTGGTTGCTCT